TCCATTGCCACTTAAACTTTTCACTCAGGCGATGACATCGCAAGCCCCCTGTTGCTTGTGTTTTTTGCCTTTCATTCGTCTTTCTATCTTTTCTTATTATTCCCAAAATACATATTTCCATGCTGCATTGCGCGTCTGCAGCTTTGCAGTCCCATACTTTTCAGACTTACCCAAGCATACTGATCGAATAGTTTCCGTTTCATGTATCAGGGCAGTTTCCCGGATAAAAGTATTTCAGTCTTGCAGTGGCACTCCACGCCATTTTTGTTCTTCTGCTGATTAGAAATAGTCGGCTGTACAAAAGAGTTGTGTCAGATAGATGTTGTTTCGTGCTTCTTCAAGTTTAAGTCCGCGAAGTCACGAATTTCTTAAACTTTACCAGTGCCCTCTTAAGGTTCGTTCAGAGTCCCATTTTAACACTGGCATCTTTCAGCATTTTACTGTATTCTTTGGGGTTCTTCTGGTGCCTCTGAGAGGCTCAAATTATCGTCCACAAATCGCATGAGACTTAAACATTGCCAATCTATGTTCATGCCCTGATTTTTCAATTGGAGTGTCCTTGAAACCTGTTCTTGAGCATCCGTGGATACCTTCGATGATATCGCATTTCCCTGTTTGTCGTTGCTTTTGTTTTGAACTTGGCGGTCATTTCGTGACGTTTCACATCAACCTCGTGTCCTTGTAAAACCTAGCGATCATGCTTCTGTGTATACTGTCGATATTCTGGCTCGTCAAGCAATCCAGTACAGATCTGATCTGGACTGAGTCAAGGCTTCCTGAAATTGACGGGTCTCGGCAGAGAGGAATCTTGTATTCATTGTATCTCTGAACTACATGTTGTATGACCTGGAGATGGTCCATCGTACTAAATCTACATCGGAATCCTGCTCGATCCTCTGCCTATTGTTGTATCTTTTCACGATTTCGTGGAGCCTCAATGAATGTTCTACAGAATGGATCAGACTGAGTCGATTCCTACGGTGTCCACAGCCATCTACATATGGATCCTGCTTGCTCCTTTGCTTGCAACGCAAGGGTTTTCCTTAAGTTTGTTCGTCTCTCCCTTCATGAAGACGTTTTACAACATTTGTACAAACTCATCAGCCTGTAATTCTTCAAATGCTCTTT